GCCTAGGTTGCGCCCCTGACAAGGTGGGGAGACTGAAGAGTATAAGCGATATAAATACTAGAATCTGGGACGCCAGATTGAGTTATCATTTTTATTATTAGTTATGAGCACTATTGTTAGAAACATTATTATATTATTCGTATGGTTACATATGTTTTATTTTTATCATAATTTTTGCATGACTTATACCACGGCAAGTTGGAACTTTGCCTGATACACATACCTGTGTTGGGTTATGATAATGATTGTTATTATTTACATAGTTAAGTTTTTGAAATGCATTGCGGCACCATTCATTTTGGATATATTCGTAAACGATGGACATGAACATTCGTGGATATACAGGGAACTGTGAACATTTATCTACACGTATGCCAACGTGCGCGAATAAGACGTTTATCCATATACAATGAGTGGCAGATGACAATCGCTATGCACTGTTTAGAAGGACGGATTTGACATTATATGATAACTGAACTTTCGTGCTAAAATTCAAAAATGGAGGATATAACGGGCTATACCAAATGGAACTTTTCATTTGAGTGGATATGAACTTTAAATTTTACGAGTTAACTTTGATTTATATTTTATTGCATGTGGTTATAGCGACACATTAAGTATTGTGTGTTGAATAATAAATACGTTTAGTATTAATAATATATATATATATATTCAGTCTGTCGGTCTTATAGTATTATTAGTTATTGATATTTAACTATACAGTCTTTGGTATAGGAACAGTGTACTTAACTTTTATAAAGATGATGACGTGAAACTGATGATATGCATTAAGGAAGATTCTTACTTAATTATTTTTCGGTATGTTTTTTTTTTTTGTTCAATCGTGGATTGGGTTTGATATAAAATGATTGTTTCTCTTACAGCCATCAAAAGAGAGCGCTACAGTGTGGACAAATATGATGATGAACAAGTACTTCATCATGAACGATGCGCTGGTCGCAACGTTGTGGTGACTGCTGTTCATTGGACAGGGAGTGATCGGCCCTATTGTCTCACGTAGTGCATCCCAAGAACATCTCATATGGCAAACGAAAGAGAGAAACTATATAATAAAATGTGTCAGAGCCACAATAAGAGAGTAACAGATTTAAACATCCGCGCGGAGAAAACAAATAAAAACATCTGTGCTCTTGGGCCGCACATTACAACATGTAAATGCACATCCACGAAAAATCATATTTTCTAAAGAGTTGTCAATCTATCTTCCTTTAAGTTATATTTGAGGTTCATGTCGATTGTATTTCTATCTTATCGAAGGTTTATAATGCAAAATCTGTTCTTAGTTTTGCAAATGCAGTGTTTAAGAAAGTTTATTTTAGGGTATATTTTAATTTTGAATATGCCTAGGGACAGGCATATCGTCCCCGGGAGATAATGTAATGTTAGTAAGTGACAGCATGCAGTGAATAAGAGCGGGGAGTGTTTAGTAGAGTAACTTAAGTTGATTGACATGCTCTTATGGTATTTATACAACTGCGCTTAGTGTGAACGGAGAGAAGGCCGCTAGAGATTGCATGAGGTAGGAATAGAAATGAAGGAAGCGGCGCGGGTAATAACTGGACAGTAGTCTAATAAATAATAAGAAAGATAATATCTGAGTTGTATTTGCTACCTCGCGTAACATGACGAAGACAAGCCAATAGTTTCGTCACACAAGTTATAATGCCTGGGTCCACTCTTAATATGACTAATGGGTATAAAACCGCTGTACTATGGAATTGTATTTTTT